CCATAGAAATTACTACAGAACTGTGCTGGGAAATGTAAACTTTTGTTTCTAACCAAGTAATTCTCTCTGCCTTGTGGTGAAGAAAACTTTCAAATATGCCCAGTGCAGCAGTTGCAGCAGCTGTCCTGATCGCACTGGATGGATGAGACCAGCAAGGGGGAAAATTCTGTGGGCTGCATGGGTTCCCGTATTTACTGGAATCCAAGACAATGTTTTTTTCCCCTCCCTTAATCAACATAGGGGAACAAAAAGCCTTGTCTTAGATTTGAGTATGGGGCCATGCCAGAACCAAAGCTGCCACCATTACTGCTGCTTGGCTGGGACTGGAGTGGCTCATGTAGTGGGGAAGGGAGCACGCAGCAGGGGATTGTGGTGCTTCCCATGCAGTGCGGAGAGGCTGGGAGAGGACTGCAGGGTAGGGGGAGAAATGGGGGAGAGTGTACAGTATGAGGGAGGGTGGGAGGGTGGATGGCACATGGGGGAGACTGTTCAGCATCAGGGGAGCTGCTCTGGCTCTAGCCCTAACTCAGGCCAAAGCTGCTGCCAATGCCAGGCCAGGCCAGGGCCGGAGCCACTACATGCTCCATGCCCTGGGCTGGGGCTAGAGCTGGAGCCAGATCATTCCCATAATGTAAGCAGCAGCGGTGGGGGGCAGGTGGTATGTGGCAGGAGGGACAGGTGTCGGTGGTAAGGGGTGAGAGTCAGGCTGCTGGCCTCCATGCCACTTGTCTCCCACTGCTGCTTTCCTTACCACAACAGTGGGTGGGACACATTTAAGATGACCCTCCACTAATTATATTCTATACAGGTAAAACTATAATTACTGGGGGGTTGTCTAAAATTTGAAATTGTCTTGGATTCACGTAAATATGGTCATTGGGTCTAATATGCAGCATGGGGTACAGGGCTTTACCTGAAAATAATAGGAGCATATTTTTCCTTCCAACATAAGGAGCGAGAGAAGCTGGCAGAAGGCATGATGCTGAAGGATAGCCAACATGGTTTTATTGCAGGCAGGTCATGTCTGACCAACCTCGGCGCCTTCTACGATCAAGTAACGAACCGCTTAGATGTGGGAGATGTGGTTGATGTCATATACTTGGATTTTAAAAAGGCCTTCGATATGGTCTCCCATGATGCTCTTATAAAAAACTGGGGGATCATGGGCTAGTGGAGTCCATGGTCAGGTGGGTTGGGAACTGGCTAAGGGGTCAAACCCAGAGAGCGTTAGTGGAAGGTTCTGTATCGTCTTGGCGGGAGGTGGCCAGTGGTGCCCCGCAGGTTTGGGTTCTTTGTCCTATGCTGTTCAACATCTTTATCAATGATTTAGATAAGGATGTGGAAAGCATGCTGGCCAAGTTTGCAGACAATACTAAGTTATGGGGAAAAGCGGTCACACTAGGGGGTAGGAGGCAGATGCAAGCAGACCTGGACAAGCTGGAAAGGTGGGTGGAGCAGAACCAAATACAGTTCAGTGACTATAAATGCAGAGTGCTTCATCTGGGGGGAAGTAACCAGCGACATGAATATAGGTTAGGAAGAGATATCTTGGCCAGCATGATGGCTGAAAGGGACCTCAGGGTTATAGTTGATCACAGGATGAACATAAGCTACCAGTGCAAAGCTGTAGTCAGCACAGTTAATAGCATACTGGGATACGTTAGCCGATGTGTCATGAGCAGAGCTAAGGAAGTGATACTTTCTCTCTACTTGGCACTGGTGAGACCCTAGCTGAACTACTGTGTCCAGTTCTGGGCACTGCACTACAAAAAAGACGAGAATCTTGAAAGGGTCCAGAGAAAGGCCACAAGAATTATTAAGGGCCTGGAGGACAGACCTTATAAGGAAAGGCTACAGGATCTGGGACTGTTCAATCTGGGGAAGAGAAGACTGAGTGGGGACTTGGTGGCCATGTATAAGTATGTAAGGGGTGAATATAGGGATCTGGGAGAAAAACTGTTCACTAGGGTGCCCCAGGGGAGGACAAGGAACAATGGCCATAGACTGTTAGGGGATGGTTTCAAGTTGGATATAAGGAAGAACTTCTTTATGGTAAGGGTGACCCGAATCTGGAATAGGCTTCCCAAGGTGGTGGTACAGTCCCCAACCCTGGAAGCCTTCAAGAGGAGACTGGATAGACGCCTTGCTGGGGTAATTTGATCTTAGCAGTATTCCTCCCTAGAGCAGAGGGGTTGGACCCGGAGATCTTCCGAGGTCCCTTCCAACCCTTAATTTCTATAATTCTATGATTCTATGTCTCCTATATAAAGATGACACCCTGACTGCAGCCTGAATTACTGTGCTGCTACCAGCCAGCTCCAGTTAGGATAAGTTTTCAGAGCTCTAGAACTCCTATAATGTATCCATTTTTAGGTGCCTTTTTGAAAACAAATCCTTTGCTACAATAGCATTTATTTATGAAGAAAACCTCCAAACCCACTCAAAAAAAACTCTGTTACAGTGAAGTATAGAAAAACCTTTACATTCTCTAAGTTACTGCCAACTACTGAAGGGCAAACTGCTCATACTCATGATCTCCCTGCGAATTTAATCCAACAGCTGTTAACATAGTTAATGGCGACCTGTGCTCCAGAAGACTTTGTGTATATGAATTTACAGGAATTAAAATTGTGGTTAGTCAGAATGAGGGTAATAAAAAACCCAAAGTGCCAGCCAAGGTAACTTTGGAATGAGTAAGCTGTCTATCCTCCTCTTCAAGACATGTCACTTTTGCCTGGCAATGTTGGCCAAAACTGTTTTACCAAGGGAAGTTAGAGTTCCTATTAAGCTCCCATTGATAGCAAAAGCCTTATGGTAGAAATTGGTTGTATTTTTCCATATTGAGGGACCATCCTCTTTGTGTAATGCAGTGATACAAAATGGTGTTTGTGGAGTTATGAAAAACTTGCCTGGTGTTCTAGGAAGTATGCTGAATCTTTCTTACCCTGTCCCTAATGGGGAAAGAGCTCTTTGTTTGTGGGGATTGCTGTACTGATCACTTAAGCCTCCACACGTAGTCTTTATCAGCTGTGCATGGTGCACACATTTCCCTGGGAGAATGGCAAGTGATGTAATCCCTTCAGAAGAGAGATGGGGAGGTGAAGGGATGTGCCCAAAGCTGGGGAGGGAGCACACATGGGAGTCTGGCTCCCCAAATCATGCCCAGACTTCTCTTCTATTTCAGCCTTACTCAGTCGGTTAGACAGTGGTTTCCTTGGGCAGCATCCATTCCTTCGCCTGAAAAGTGCTTTGTTCCCCTGTGGCTTGCTTTAATCAATCCTTGCTAATCTGTAACTCTGGAAAGGCCCTGTACATTTCCCTGTCCTCAACACCATTTTCTCATATCCTGTTTCAGTATTTTCCATTCTCATTGTGCTCTTGCCACTGGATGGTCATGGTGAACTGAACAAAAGAGTCAAGGGCCAAATAGCTCAGCTTTTCTGTGTATTACAAGGGGGGGGGGGGGGGAATTAGCACTACTACTGTCCACCAGATAGTGCTTGGGGTTCGTTAAAGCACAATTAACCCTTAAATGGAACGTGAAATATGAATGTATACAAGTCTGTGTCCTACAATCAAAGTCTTACTTAAATGCAGACAACTTGGTGTCTTAAAATCAAAGTCTCGGACAACTCGTGTCCTAAAATCAAAATGCAGACAACTCAATGTCTTAAAATCAAAGTCTAACAAGTGTTGTCTTGGCAGTTTCTATATTCAGAGAGAGAAAAACATTCAGTACAATAATTTCACCCAATCCCAGATGTTACTTTGCTCAACAGAAAAGATGGCCACTCAGTTCCTAGAAGCAAAAGGTACGTCATGGGCTAGAACAGTCTAGACAGATGTTGAAGGCTGAACTTATGACAACGATGAACTTTCTTGCTCCCCCTTTTTATGTTTTTCTTCAACTTTACTCCTTTGACTCTTTACTTTCAGATTGGCCTCTCTGCAGCCAACATACTGTTCATCTTTTATCCCATCAGCATATACTTTTTGTCTAACAAACCCATTACAAGCACACCTCTTAATTTGGCCTTTTTTCGGTGTCTTACTTTGGGCATTGTCCATTGGTCTCCCTTAGCACCTTTCAGTAATATATCCAATTCAGTCTTTCCTCTGATTCAGCTGGTTAGTGCCAAGTTCAGTTAATTGGAGCTAGTAACAAGACCATTGCTATGTTATGTTGAAAGAACTTCTGACAGTGATAAAAAAAAAAAAGAAAAGATATAATATAATGAGCACCTATGTGCTCTACAAAAACAACTCACGGCCAGCTAATAATAAAAAACAAAAGTTAATAAGAGCAGAACTTAAGCAATGGTTAAATAAGGCTAAATATAAACTGTACTATACGCAGGTGCAACTTCAAAGCATTAAACATAACAAGCTACCCTAAAGGGGGTGTGTGGTGGGGGGTGGGGGGGAACTCTTATTTCCATTGAGGAACTTTAGCTTACAACTTCCTTCCTTGTGTGGAAAAGAGAGATCACTGAAAAGCCTGTGCAGGACATGGCTCTGGAGGAGGTATCAGTTACTATTTGGTGATACGAAGGGAATGCTTTCTTTCTTCCAGCGTGTGTGTGTGTATAGCTACTGGAGAATATGTCAACAGGACGAGAACTTGCATTCTTTTCTCCTGTGTGCTCTCTCAGCCACTGGGCAACATCTAGAAAAATGTTGTAACCAAGAGTGTAAGTAACCAGCCCTAAACCCACTTAGAGTAGAGACCTGTACGGGGAAAGGCCTGTTCAGACCAATAGAACTTTCAGCTAGCATGCATCCTGTTTCTTCATTTTCAGTGTGCTACTCTCATGCCAGTATATGTTTACTCCTCTGTACTCTGCTTCTAGACTGACTGAATATGACTTTGATGGCTCTGGAATCAAGTTGATGCATGGTCACCAGAGTTTTGTGGGAACTGGCTGCTCTTGCCCCATAGATGGGGATCTTGGCCTTTGTTTATCATCGTATGGACTCTCTTCACTCCTATTTCCCCTTAGATTTCAGGTACCGAAAGCAGAAGGACTCTGTACAAGGCAAAGGCACAGGGCTACGATTGAGAAGCAGGCTTTCTCCATCCTCTCTGAAGTCCCAAGGGCGCCCAGATTTCCGAAACGGCTTCCTTCTTGATCACCCAGACAACTCCTCCATCCAGGAAGCACTAGAGAAACCATCAGGAAAACGCAAATGCAAAACCAAACATCTGGCAGGGCTCTGTGAGGAAGGGAAGGTATGATTCAGGCCTAGGGACAGGATTCATCAAGGCCCTGGACAGACATAACAATTGAAGCACTTCAAAGAGCAAGCAGGCAGGTGTACACGTCCTTTGCAGCACTCTGAAAATGGCAGAAGGGCTCCAAAAATAACCCTTGAGGAAACTCTTACTATTCAGAAGTTTATTACTTTGAAACACTTCCTATTACATGTGCACACTCTATGGAGCATGGTAGAATGGCTCTGCTGCTTCATCCCCTCCTTTGCTCAGAGGAAAGTGAGAAAAGTAAGGCAGGCTGTCAATGAGTGCTCTGCCTCTGGTCTCCCTGCCTCCTGACTCCCCCGCACCACCACTGGAACAAGTAAATCCCAGAACTGGGAGACCAGAGGCCTCTTGTCCCCTGTTTCTCTCTTGGTTTGATGAAAAAGGTGCTCTGGGAGAGAGGGCAGAGAGAGCATGGAGATTGCTCACCGACAGCTGGCTCTGCTTCCCCTCAAGAGACTGGGGCTGCAGAGTGCTCACAGAAATTGAGTGAGCCATTGATCAATGAGTACTCTCTTGCATGCTCTGCATTTTCTCTCCCACAGCATCTCTCCCCCCACTCCATGTAGGACTCGATAAAGTCCAAGAGTAGGTGTGGGGTCATTGAGATTTCTGTCTCCCAGTTCATGGGGGAAGTGCTCCAGCAAAGTGGAAACAGCATGCAGAAGAGAGCACTCACTGACAGGTGGCTCCACTGCAGAGTGAAGGCTTCACTGCACAGTGTTCATGGATGGGGGCTTGCAGGGTGCAGCAGCTCTCTGCCACACCCTGGCTGGAGAGCACACTGCTGCATGGAGCTGGAGTGATTTTCAAGCACTCCAACACAGCAGAGGCTGTACCTCTGTGTGCAGCTGAAGCACTCCATTTTTTTTTAAGTGTTTCAAAGAGCAGCTGCTTTTTGAAGCACTTCAGATGTTATGTCTGTCTCTCCATCAGCTCACCATGCACAGGGCAAGTGGTTCCTATGGCCAGCCTTGTCCAACTGTGCTGAAGAAGCTTCTTTCATCCTTTGTTTTCTAGGTGAAAGGGCGATGGAATCAGCCCAAGGTGCGCTCTCTGAAAAAGTCCCCAGAGCTCTGGTCACTCTGTAAGTCACAGCGGGTCAGCCCAGAGAGCTCCTCTGAACTACCCGTATCTCAGCATGTCCCTCCTGAAGCTCGGCGGCTGATTGTAAACAAGAATGCTGGGGAGACTCTCCTTCAGCGAGCGGCACGGCTTGGCTACAAGGTGAGTGCTGGATCAGAGGATGTCTCTGAAGATCACTGCTGTCTCCTCCCTGTTCACTGCTGTAAGTCTGAGTGGCCCAGGCCCCTTCCTTTTGGTTTATCTGTAACCAGGCCTCTCTGGTGTTTATTTCTCGAGGATGTGGTGCTGTACTGCCTCCAGAAGAAGAGCAGTGATGTGAACCACCGTGATAATGCTGGTTACACTGCCTTGCATGAAGCCTGCGCACGAGGCTGGATTGATATCCTGCACATTCTGCTAGAACATGGAGCCAATGTGAACTGCAGTGCCCAGGATGGCACAAGGCAAGGTGGCTTTCAGCACTGTTAACCCAGAAGACGGGGGCAAGACAAGAGATCCTAGAGCCAGGGCAGCAGAGTTGGGAGTCTTTCAGGAAGTGGTGTTAAGCTGGCTTGAGGCAGCAGTGCCATCTGGCAGGAAGTAGGTTATTTGATCTATGAACTCTCCAGCTCTCTTTGTCTTTTGCTAACACTTTCTTCCCTCACCAGGCCTGTGCATGATGCAGTGGCAAACGACAACCTGGAAACCATGTGGCTTCTACTTTCATATGGTGCTGATCCCACTCTTGCTACCTACTCGGGGCAGACAGCCATGAAACTGGCCACTAGTGAAGTGATGAAACGCTTCCTTAGTGGTAAGTGCTGAGCCTTGGGGCATCCTAAAGACTAACACTTACTGAGATCACTTCCCCCCGGAGATTAAATGTTTTTCAAGCAGGTGGTGTCAAATATAAAAACTCACATCTATGTTCAGGGCCACAGTTAGGCATTAAGAGTCAGAAAATGCCAGCACACTGATGGAATGGGCAAGTATAACTCTTTCCATGGTGCCCATGGCTTTACAATCCAGGCTTTAATCACTGAATGACTTGGAAAGCAGCATATAATTACATATAGTGCAGGAGAACCCAGATCATTCATCTCCAGTGATTCGCAACCCGCTTAATTCACATCAGTTTGCCAAATTAAAGACCTACCGTACTGCTGCTGGCTGTGACTTTTACCTCTAAAGATGCTTCTTCTCTGTTCAGCTGGACCTCTGCCATGGTCCCATACAGCTGTTTGCTGCAGCTCTATAAACCCCTGGGCAGATTGCAAACCCTTATCTAAATGAGCAGTGTATCCCAGTTCTACTGTATAGAATTCCTTTTCCAGTTTTAGGTGCACAATCCAGGGACATCTATGAAAAACTCAGAACACGTAACTAAAG